CAAAGAGTTTGGCCAGCATGAAACCTTTCCTGAGAAAACAGAATCCAGCAGTGATTCCCTGTGGCAGAGCCAAGCACATGGGATTCCGCGGACTGAACGTGTGCACTGGTGTCAGCAGCCATCCTGCAGCATGGAATTTCATTGTCCAGAAGGAATGTCTCACTTGGCTCCTACCCTCACAGAGGCACTGTGATTAGGTCTCATTAGAAAGATTATTAACAGTCTCCAAGGACACTTTCAAAACACTGGAAAGTCTCTGCTAATTGAAACTAAATGACAGCTGTCCAACTGCATTTTCCCCTGCATTTTCCCTGGGACAGGATTAGGTTTCTTTGTTCCTGCAGAATGTTTAAATATCAGTTATTTGCAGCAAGGTCTCTGCCCCGTGGCACCTGCCTGGGGGGGACAGAGCTCTGCTGCTCCTGCAGCCTGTTCCCAACATTCCAGCTGGCCCCAGGCCCAGCTCACAGATGGGGCAAACTGAGACAGGGGAAGGATTCCCTGTGCTCAGGCCAGAACAGGGAGCTGAGTTTGGGAGTTTCTGCCTGAGAAGCAGCAAACACACCTACCCCAGGTGCCAACAGCATTGTCCACACCCGACGGATTGCCATGGATCACCTGCTCCCCTCGGAAGGCCCAGCTGTTAATCAGGGTCAGCTCCTCTTCTGTCCACCTAGAAAGCAAGGAAATAACTCCAACACAAACCACTCCAAACCAGTGGATAGGGAGAGGTCAGGCTCAGGGGGAAGATCCCAGCCCTGGCCTGGTGTAGATCAGATTTAATGGAATTCAAGTCCAGACTCATCCCTGCCTCAGCAAACGTGGTGTGTTACCACACACACTGGAAAGGCTGAGGGAGCTGGGATTGCTCAGCCTGGAGAGGAGAAGCTTTGGGGCCCCCTAATTCCAGTGCCTGAAGGGGCTACAAGAAAGAGAGACTATTTACAAGGGCCTGGAATGACAGGACAAGGGGGAATGGCTTTAAATTGACAGATATCAACAGGTTTAGATTGGATACTAGGAAAAAGTTCTTCCTTGTGAGGGCAGTGAAGCCAGTGAAGCCCTGGTTGTGCAGGGACACCTCCCACTCTCCCAGGTTGCTCCAAGCCCCATCCAACCTGGCCTTGGACAATTCCAGGGATCCAGGAGCAGCCACAGCTTCTCTGGGCAGCCTCTGCCAGAGCCTCACCATGCTCAGGGAGGAATTCCCAGTATCCCATCTAATCCTGCTCTCAGTCTGAGCAAAAAACCACACCTCTGACCCTCCCTGCACACCACAAGTCAATTCAACAGGTATTCCATGCTCGGGCAGAGGCACAAATCCACATTTTGGGAAAGTCTTGCAGCATCTTGCAAGGCAAGGCAGAAATTCCAAGAGCCATGTGCTATTCAGAAACTTCACTCCTGCTTCCCTGGGCCTTGGCTGAATGTCCTTATCCATGTCCACACACCTTGCATTCCACCTCCAGGATTTAATCTGGGAGCACTCAGCAAACAGCTCACACCAGCAGCCTCAGGAACAGGAGTAAACCACTTGTTTTTAATCCTCTTTGAGAGGCTGCAATTCCTCCCGACACAGGAGCCTTTCTATCCTGCTGTTCTTTTCTTGCCATGGGAAGCAAAATCCTTCTGAAGTCTGACACCCCCAGCTCTCTGCACACCAGCTGGAAGGCAGGAATTGTGCAGGATGCAGGCTGAAGCCATGGAGGGTGAGCAGGGAATGAAGACATCCTGACTGCACCACTTGGAGCTGCCCTTTTATTTCCCAATTTGGGAGATTTGCCCAAGCACAGGGGACAAAGTGCTCCCAACAAGAACCTGCTTCTGTGTCAGGCTGCAGATTCTGGTTCAGAAGCAGAACACAGAACCACCCTCCTTGCTGTCTCACACTCAGCCCCACACAAAATCCCACACAATAGAGGTTCTGCCCCTCCAGCTTTGATTTTGAACAGCTTCAAACAGAGTTTCCCCTCACAGGGGCACAGCACTCCAGGCTTCCAAAGGGGAGCTCCAAGGGCAGAAGGAAAGAAACTCTCTTTCATCAGGTACTGATAAAAGGGAAAGACAGGCAGGAGATCAGGAGGAAATGCAGCACTTGCAGAAAAGAATTCATGAGAAATGCAAAAAAAACCCCAGAAAGGATCCTCGAGGACTCAAAGAAAAACCTGGAAGATGCTCAGAGCCAGAGGAAACTGAGGTTGAAAAATTTCAGTGTGTTTTGTTAGATTGGAAAAATAAAGCTTTTTCCCCCCTTTTTAGGTATGTTTTTCTGACCCTACACAAGGGAAACGGGGAGTTTTACAAAATCTGGGACAGGGCTGGGAACACTGGGCATGGACAGGAGATGGGCTCAGGGTGTCACTGGTGGTGACAGCCAAGAGAGACCAGCAGAGGTGGCAGTGCCAGAACTCATGCATGCAAAAGGGAAAGTGGAGCACAGAGAGCAGAGCTGTGCATCCCAGGCTGGAATTCCTTACCTGGCTGTGGATTCTCCCTCCTGCAGTGGGCAGGAGATGGCTCCACACACCATGAGCAGGGCTGCAGCCAGGCACACAGCATAGGCAGCACTGGATCCCAGCCCTGCTCCTGTGGGCAGCTCCGACCACACCACGATCTCCACGCTGGGAACATCCCTGGAAAAACAGACACACAGGGACTGGCACAAGCACCCTGAATTCCACCTCCAGACAACATCAAAAAGGCAAAGAGGCTGGTTAGGACTGATCACAGGGAAAGCTGGTTGAGAATTGGCAACATCAGCACGTGCATCTGACACACTGGGGCTTCAGGAGGGCTCATTCCTGAATGGAGCAGCCTGGCCAAGCCCTTGTGCTGGAATAAATCCCTCCTGAGCTGGATCCATGATTGGCACAGCCTGTCAGGCTGCTAGAAGGGGTTTCTGGTAACTAAATACCTGAGCAGCACCATAAAGAGCCCCTTCAGAGGTTGCTGTAAACAGGATTGTAAACATATTTCTGAATAAAGTGGAAACATCCCAAATCTGTAATTGCACAGCCACATCCCACTGGAGCAAGAGGCTGGTGGGGAAGATGGAACACGGACATATCCACGTCCCTTTGCTCCACTGAACACCTGGGTTGTGTTACTGACCCCAAAATCAAGCCCAGGAGCTTTTCAGGGCTGCTGAGTGACAGTCCCAGTGCCACCCTGAGACTGAAGGGAAACCACAACCCAGCTGCACAACCCAGCTCTTCATCCTTGGATTTCTTGGATGAGAAGATGGAAGTTAGGCTCTGCTTTGGTTTCTGACACTGCCCTGAGCACCCATCCAGTCACACAGAGATCATTGATGGTGCTGGGCAAGGCTGGCAACTGGAACAGCCCCCAGTTGTCAGAGTTTTAGGGAGATTCAGCCCATAAAGAAATCAGACTTAGTTCAGACAACAAATTCACAGTTTATTCCTGTTTTTCCAGCCTAAACCAGGAGCTGCCTGCTGGAGGGAGGGGTGTGTGTGTTGTGACTGTGGCATGAACTGCTCTGGTTTCAGCCCTCAGAAGTGAGAGCAGAGACTCCCAGCTCACCTGCCTGAAGCACCCACCCACCACCCAAATTTTGGGGCAGGAGCAGAGCCTTACCCATACTTAGCAGAAATAGCCAGGCACATATACAGGAAGGCAAGAGTAGCAAGACTTTCTGGAACTGAGGCCCCAGCAGCAATTCCAGCAAACTCCCTCAGTGCATCCAGCTGTTCTAGGCTGGGGGACTTGGGCTCATCACCATCAGCTATGGAAGCAAGCAGGGGAGAGTTTAAACACTTAAAAAAACAGGGAACTGTTACACTGAGAGCAGTATTTACAACAAAACCTTCTGTTACAGCAGGGAGCAACAGCTGGGGCCAATTTCAGGTTCTACCTGAGGATCTGTGATAAAATAACAACAAAATCTCCACCAGGGACTCTGAAATCTCAGCGTTTCCACACTCCACACTTCCAAATGTTTCTCTGCCTACACCTCCCATTGCATCCACCCATAATCACTATGGAAAATATGGCAAGTCACAAACTCTTCATAAAAAAATGTGGATTTTTGGAACTGGGATATCCTGGGGCTCCGGCCAGTGCAAGGTGCTGCAGAAATTCCCATGGGGGCTGGTGTGGGACAGACAGGCAGGAAATCAGGCCCAGGCTGGCTCCTGCCTGTGTCACAGCATTGCCCGAGCCACAACAGCACCGGAACAAGTCCCTGGAACCCAAACCAGGAGGGGACAGGGCCACGCAGGGACACCTGAGCATCAGCGGGGTCACAAGGGGAATGTAAATAACTGAGAGGTGCAGGGACAGGTCAGCGAGCGGGGTCAGAGACAAATAACAGGGGGGACAAATAACGCCACAGAGTCACCCCACGGGGGTTCTGCAAGGTCACCTCACGGCGGGGGTCCCAGCACGGTCACCGGGGTGTGGCAGGCACCGAGCGGTACCGAGAGCCCCTCACTGCCCCGGGGCAGCTCCTCCTTCCCCCGGCCCTTGCCTGCGATCCGCCCCCGCAGGGCCCGGAGGTCGGGGGTGTCCCAGCTCCTGCGGACGCCCACGCCGGGCAGGGAGACGCTCAGCCGGCCCTCAGCGCCGGGCCGCAGGCGGAGAAACGTCCGCAGGTCCAGCGCCACGGCCAGGGCCACCTGCGGGCGGAGAACGGGGGTCAGCGGCGCCTCACCGAGCTGGGCAGCCCTCACTGCCCCGCCGCGCCCTCACCTTGCCCAGCACCACGGCGTGCTCCCCGTGCAGGATCACCTTGCCCGGCGCCGACACCGCCAGCTCCCGCTCCCACATCGCCGCCGCCTCACGGCCCGCGCCGACTGACAGCCCCACCCACCAATCGGGGCCGCGCCCTGCCCCGCCTCCCTGAGCTCAGCCAATAGCCGGGCGCCGTGCAAGGGCGGGACTTGCGGGCGGCCAATGGGAAGGGGGCGTTGCGGCGTGGCGTGGCGCTGGGGTGACAGCGTGGGCTGAGGGCGGGACGGTGGCGACGGCGGCCGGGAGGGATGTGGCGGCGGGCGGCGGTGGCGGCGGGACGGGGACTGCGGGGGCCGCCGGCGATGGCGGGGCGGCGGTGGCGGAGCGGGGCGGGCAGGTGAGCGTGGGAGGGCCGAGACCCTCTCACGGCGTCGTTGCGCCCCTCACGGTGTCGTTCCGCCCCTCACGGTGTGTCCCCCCTCGCAGTGTCCCCCGGTGTCCCCTCACGGTTTGTGCCTCCACAGCCCCGACCGCGCCGCTGCCGAGCGGGCCCCGAGGATCTACACGAGGACGGGAGACTCAGGTAGAGCCCGGGGGGCTCCGGGGGCCGCGGGCGGAGCTCCCCGGGCGAGCCCTGAGCGCCTCCCGCCTTTCCCAAAGGATTCTCCAGCACCTTCACCGGGGAGCGGCGGCCCAAGGGCGACCGCATCTTCGAGGCCCTCGGAGCCACGGACGAGCTGAGCTCGGCCATCGGGTAAGGACCGGCTGGGAGGATGCAAGTCACATGGAAAATCATGTTTGTTATGATTTCTTCATTCCCAGCTAACTGTGTTTTGTTTTTTTCTCTCACCAAGGCTGGCTGGTGAGTTTAGCAGTGAAAAGGGTCACACGTTTGTTGATCAACTTCATAAAGTGAGTATTAATGATCATCTTCATCCAGTGCAGTCCCTTACCTGTGCTATTAAAACATAACTCCTGTGCTTACTATGCTTATGTTGTATAGGAGTTAAGTTATGCTTAACTCCTGTAACTTACCTATGCTATTAAAACATAACATAACAAAACATAAGTTCATTAAAACATGAACTCCTTAATTTTAGCCACAGTGCTCCCACTGATGCACAGGAATTCAATACATTTCAGTATATAAATAGGAATTCAATAGTATTTCAATATATAAATCTTTAAGGCTTCCTTTATTGCTCTCTAAGAGGCAAATTTCTTTAACCAGGAAGGAAGCTGCTAGATCAAATTATTAGTTTTGGGCAGACAGATTCATCTCTAGGTTTATTCTAAGTCAGATCCACATTATGAACAGGAGTTTTGTTTGAAACTGGGACACAAACCAACCACAAGGGCACAGCAGTGACACAGGTCCTGCCTGGGCAGCCTGTGAGTTTGGCTGGTCAGCTCTGCTGAGCACAGGAATGTGAAAAGCCATGGCTGGGAGTGTCAGCAGTTGTGATTTTTGTCCAGGTCCAGTGCATGCTGCAGGATGTGGGCTCCAACATTGCCACACCACTCTCCTCAGCCAGGGAGGCTCACCGGAGTAAGTCCTACCTTTCCTGGGGTGGCAGGGCTTGGGCACAGCCTGCTGTGGGTGGTGGGATGCTGAGTATTTGGTTTCTTAGGACTTGCTGATCCAAGAAAGCAAAATCAGACCTCAGCTTGTTGTCTGAATCACTTTTTTTTCAGCTGAATTTTCTCTCCCGTCTGTAGAACGAACGTCGTTCAGCGAGAAGCCCGTGCTGGAGCTGGAGCAGTGGATTGACAGCTACTCAGAGCAGCTGCCTCCCCTCAGAGCCTTCATCCTGCCCGTAGGTGCTGCCTGTGCCCCCCATCTCCTCGGGGTAGCCCTGCTGCACTGCCCACCATGGGAAAGCAGCCTGGGAGGTGCTGTTTCCATGGGCAGACGCCAAGAGAAAAGCAGAGACAAGGAGCTGGGAGTTCCTTTTGCCCCCCCTGCTGCACTGGGATGTCCTGGCTGTGGCGCAGGGATCAGCTCCATGTGTGTGGGAGGGCAGGGGGGCTGTCCCTGCTGCTGCAGGCACTGAGTGCTGTTTCCTTGCTGTTCCAGTCTGGGGGCAGGAGCAGTGCTGCTCTCCACTTCTCCCGAGCCGTGTGCCGCAGGGCTGAGAGGTGGTGAGTGCTGTGCTGGGGTCACCCTGAGGAAAGGGGATGGGGACAGCCCAGTGACAGCAACCCAGGGCTGGGCTGGGCTGGGCTTGGGGCTCAAGCCAAGCTTTTGTGTGTTTAGTCCAATTCCAGGAGTGCAGGAGGCACAAAGCCAGGCTCGTTCTTCCTTCCCCAACCAAAACCTTTTGGGATTCTGCAGCCCCATCCAACCTGGCCTTGAATACTTCCAGGGATGGAGCATTTTCTTCCTTCCCCAACTTAACCTTCTGGGATTTTGCAGCCTCCTCCAACCTGGCCTTGGATGTTTCCAGGGATGGAGCAGCCAGAGCTTCTCTGGCCAGGGCCTCACCACCCTCACAGGGAAGAATTCCTTCCCAGTATCCCATCTAACCCTGCCTCTGGCAGTGGGAAGCCATTCCCTCTGTCCTGTCACTCCAGGCCCTTGTAAATAGTCTCTGTTCAGTAATTCCCATGGATGAGTATCCTGGGAGGAGCAGAGCAGGGGGCTTCCAGGACAAACACAAACATTTCTGGCATCATTTATCCCTCCCAGATCCCCCTGGGAAGCAAAGATCCTTCACTTCTGCAGGGGTTAAAATGGGGACCCCAGGAGAGGTTTGGGGTGGGAAGAGGCTCCAGCCTTTGTGGGCTCAGAACTGAAAAATTAAACACCAGAATTTCCCTTTGCTTTTCCCAGCGTGGTCCCTTTAGTCCAAGCAGGAGAAGCAGATCCAAATGTGGCCAAGTATTTAAACAGGTAAAAAAACAAAATCCCAAACCATTGCCCTGTCCTACTGAAGCATTCCCTTAGTTCTGGGAATAAAACTGGGGGAGGCTTGCTTCTCAACAAGCTTCTCTTCTGGAATAAGATCACTTGTTTTCCTGCTTCTCCCTTGCTTTCCAGGCTCAGTGATTATCTCTTTGTCCTGGCACGTTATGCTGCAATGAAGGAAGGGAAGGAAGAGAAAATCTACATAAAGCCTGAGCCCTAGCTGGGAGCTGGAATGTTTTGTCCTTGATCATGGAAAACTAAATCCAGTTGACTGCTTTTGTCCATCAAGGAAGGGAGAGAGAACAAGCCTGGACTGGAAATTGGAGCTGCCAAGGATTTCCATGTGAAATAACCAGGACCTTGTTGATAAATCCTGAGAGGAACAGAATCACAGAATATCCTGAGTTGGAAGGGACCCAAACACACCTGTTATATTCCCTGGGCCTGGCCCACACATCCCATGTGGGGATGGCTCTGGAGTCACTGCTTCTCCAAGGTGGGAGTTGAGGCAGGAGAATTCCATAACATTTTGGAGATGCCTTCATTTCCCTGGGCAGCAGCAGGTGCTGTGGGAAGGCTCTGACAGGACTCTGAGGGATGATGAAGGGAAAACAATCAGCTCCTCCTTTGAAGTCTCAGTGCTCGTATGGAGCAGCAGCTGGAGGCGTTTGGGAATTGTGTCCGCCGCTCTGAAATAATAAATGTGAATTTCCTTGTACCAAAGGACCACAAACTGTCACATTTTAACACCGAGCCCTGTGTGCTTTGCTGCTCCAAGTCCCTTCCAATCCATCAGTTCTGGCTGGAGCTGAGCTGTACAGATTTACAGGAATGCACCAAGAATTCCTTGGCTCTGGCTGCCTCTTGTTGTGCATGTGAGGAATGTCTCTGTGCTGACAATCCAGGGCATCCTCTGCCAGGAACAGGATGGAGGGGGTGAAGCAGGAACGGCCAAATCCCAGGGTCTGTGTGCTGGGGTTGTCTCCATGTGGAGCTGTCCCTTGGAATGGTGGGACCAACTGCCCCTCTGGCTGCAGGAACAGCTGGGGGAGCAGAGCCCAGGGTTTGGGAGCACCCAGGGCATGGAGGGTGCAGGAAAAGGGGTTGGGGTGAGGAGCAGGGCCCTGCTGGAGCTGGGTGAGAGGGCAGCACCCCGAGGGTTCCTCCCAGGGTGTTCCTCCTGAGCCTGGAATGTTTCTCCACGGAGCCCTCGGCAGAGCAGGCTGGAGAGAGCTCACACCCACATCACAATTCCAGCTTTGCACTCGAGTCCAAGCTGCTTCCAGCTTGGAAATACACCTGGGAAGAACTCATGTGAAGCCTGCTGGTGTAGTTTTTCCCCCTGGGAATGCTGTGGGCTGCAAGGTGGTGATGCCCATCCAGAGCTTGTCCTGCTTTTAGTGAGGCAGCTTTTAAATCCATCCTGCCCCTTTTCCCATTAAATTATTTGAGTGGAACCAACCTTAAACTTGTTCTCCAAAGAATCTCTGGCTCTGTGTCCCTTTTTGGGCAGTGAGGAATGCTCAGGAATGAGTGAGGAGTGCCCAGCACTAACAGATCTCCCATCTCATCACTCACCTGGGTTTGAGGCAGATATTTCATGGCTCTTGTTAATGCACATTTTTCATAGAGTAATTTTCCAAGGCTCAGCCTGGAGCACATCCTGGTGACAAATGCTCTGGATTTGGATGGTCCCATCAGCTGCAGTGTCACCTCAGCCATTCCCTCTGCCTGCTCCAGCCAGTTTTACGAGAGCTCTGGCTCTGGGACTGAACCTCAGGAATCAAGAGGCTTTTCAAGTTTAATTTAATAAAATCCTTTGCAATATAAATTCTTCATGAATGCTCCATAAATCAGCTTGGGGAGGGATTTATAGTGTTTCCTTTTTTTTTTTTTTTTTTCTTCCAGCTAGGGGGAAGAAATCTCACTACTGTTTTGGGACCAAAGCTGGCATTGTTTGGATTGCAAGGAGAAATAAATCAAGCTACTACACTTAACATGATGGAGAGATTAAATTTACTGGGGTGCTCCCAGCTGCCCCCTCCCTCTCTACCCACAGCAGTTGTTTCTGGAGGGCTGAGGCAGAGGGAGGTGATGAGGTGACCCTCGGCGTGTCACTAAGCAGGGCTGAGACATTTTGCCCTGAGAGTTGTCCCCGAGGTCACAGGACAGCCATGGGCTCTTGGGGGGACTCACCTGGGGAAAAGGAGGCTCAGGAGGGACCTTGTGGCTCTGCACAAGGCAGAGGGAGGTGATGAGGTGACCCTCGGCGTGTCACTAAGCAGGGCTGAGACATTCTGCCCTGAGAGTTGTCCCCAAGGTCACAGGACAGCCATGGGCTCCTGGGGGGGCTCAGCCTGGGGAAAAGGAGGCTCAGGAGGGACCTTGTGGCTCTGCACAGCTCCTGACAGGAGGGGACAGCCAGGGGAGGGTCAGGCTCTGCTCCCAGGGAAAAGGGACAGGAGGAGAGGAAACTGCATCAAACTGTGCCAGGGGAGGGTCAGGGTGAACACCAGAAGGAATTTCCTCATGGAGAGGGTGGTCAGGGACTCGAAGAGCCTGCCCAGGGAAGTTTGGTGGGCATCACCACCTTGCAGCCCACAGCATTCCCAGGGGGAAAAAATTACACCAGCAGGGTTCACATGGGTTCTTCCCAGCTGTATTTCCAAGCTGGAAGCAGCCTGCCCCTGCTCCTGATCCCACAAGGTCAGCCAGGCAGCAGCAGCAGAGTGACCAAAACAAAACCCAGTCTCTAAATCCAAATAAACCTCCCTTGCTCTGGGCTGGCAGTTGTTTTTCCAAGCTCTTTGTCTCTTCCCAGCCCTCCCAGCCATACAGCATAGGGATTCCAGTGCCTGCACCTCATTAATATCACGGGGGAAGGCAGATGCTTTGTCCAGGCTGCCCAGCTCCAGCGCCCAGCAACATTCCTGCCTCGCAGGGTGCCTGATCTGGGATTGCTCCGGAGCTGCCAGCACAGCCATATGTTGCTAAGGGTCGTTTATTCTTGTTTGTAAAATGTATGGCTGCTCCCAGCTTCCACACTGTCAAAACGAGAAGAACTGGCCCCAAAATCTCTTGCTGCATGATTGGATCAGACGCCCGTACATCTGTTAACGCTGTAGGAGCTGTAGAATGGAATAAGTTGGGCTATAACTCAAGCACCTCGATTACCACCACGATGTGGGAGCAGCAGAACGGCTGCTGCTCCGCCAGCAACCACGCAAACATCCATTGTGCCAAGTCAGATGTAAATTTACACAAGGCAGCATTTCCTGGGCCAGGGCTCAGAAGGGAGGAGAGGGATGAGAGCCCCAACCTTGACAGGGTGTGCTGGAGCCCGGTGAATTTTGGGGTGCACAGCCCTGGCAGTGGGGAGCCAACTGCTCCACTGGAGCTGCAGGAGCAGGGAAGATCACAGGTCCTCCAGCAGGGCAAGTCCTGTGGGCTCACAAGCTCCTGAAATCCCCTTTTAGCCTGGAAATGGGCAAGGAAAAACCCTCCCCACCCTGGAGCAGCCCAGGGCAGGAAACATCAGCCCTGTGCCTGACAGGAGCAGGTTGAGCTTGCTGTCTGTGGAGGAAGGGGCTGTCGGGGACCCTCAGCCCCCTCTGTGCTGCAGCCTGGCCCAAAGTGCCCACCCCAGCCCAGTGCCCCCTCCCTGCCTTGGCAGGGCAGGCACAGAGAGGCAGAGCAACACGGAGGGCTCAAACCACCCCAGGGAAACTGGAGAGGGTCAGGATTGAAGAACTTGACCTCAGAAACAGCCACAAAAGCAGCTTGTGAGCACCAGTTCAGTGCCACTTACCCAGGTGGTGACAGTGCCAAGTGCCACATGGTGTGACCAGTCCAGCACCTGCTGCAGGAGCTGCTGCACCTCTTGGTAAATGGGAACAAACACAAAAATGAGCTGCAGAGACATCAGGGATGTGGAGACCAGAACACGGCACAGCCTCCTCTCCATCCTAACCTGGAATCTAGCATGGGGCACAGGTGCAGAACAGAGGGATCTAACAGAGGGAACACCAGCCTGGGTGGGAGCCAGGGGCTGGGACAGCCTGCAGGAGCAGGAGAGGGGCAGCAGGAGCTGCTGTTTGCTCCTGAGCATCCCGTGCCTGCAGCAGGTTGGGACACCCAGCTCTGCTCTGTGCCAGCACTGAGCGAGCACCAGGCTCCAGGGATCCTTCAGGGATCCCTCCCAGCTCCTCACCCCACAGTTCCCAGTTTTCTGCTCCCAAGGCTGGGATAGCCACGGCCACATCTCACTTCGGTGGCCCTGAGCGACGCGTGCCCAGATCCCGGCCGATGCCAGGGAAGCAGGGGCTGTGCAGGCCTGGCTGCTGCCAGCTCTGCCTTGGCAGCAGCTGCTCTGGGCTTGCTTTTTGCTGTTTCTGACAGTGCCAGATGCCTCTGTGTCAAAACAATGGCATTTGCACACTGACTGGGAGCCTCTCCCTCGCTCCCACCGTGCTCCCGCTCCCAGCAGAGCCAGAGAGGGCTGGGAATGGCCAGGGGGGCAGGAGGGCTCCAGGCAGGGATGGAGGGGCAGTGAAGGGCTCCAAGCCTGGAGTCAGAGGGGAGCTGGAGCAGCAGGCACAGCTCTCACTCCTCCAAGGAACCTCCAGCATCAGGCAGAAACACACAATATTATAATATTGTTATTAACATCAAAGCCCATGTCAGCTCCAGCAGCTGCTCCTTGGGGCTCCCCCACTCCTGCACTGGGGGATCCCACTTGGATTTCCAGCCTGTTTCCCTCTCCACCAGTGGTTCCAGTCACCATTCCCAGATGAGCACTGAGCATTGCTGGTCCCAGCACCCACCCCTGCATCCGAGGAGCACCAACACCCCCAGGAAGGACCAAACTCCCTGCGCTCTGCAGGACCAGGCAGAGCTTCTCCAAGCATATTCCAACATGAGCAAATCCTACTTCACACAAGGCTGCCAGGTCCCTTTGGGCTCAACAGGCCTCGTATCCCCCCATCTAGAGCACCCCAGAGATCCCAGCTCTCAGGGGCACCAGGAACCAGCTTGGCAACAGGAATTCCCATGGGAGCAGCAGGCTCCATGCCCAGCCTGGCAGACTCAGAATCCCAGAATGGTTTTGGTTAAAAGGAACCTCAAAGCTCATCCCATTCCACCCCCCGCCATGGGACACCTTCCACTATCCCAGGCTGCTCCAAGCCCTGTCCAGCCTGGCCTTGGACACTTCCAGGGATCCAGGGGCAGCCACAGCTTCTCTGGGCAACCTGTGCCAGGGCCTGCCCACCCTTGGAGTAAAGGCAGGTGCTCTCTGAGAGGTGCCAGGGCCCCAGTGCCCTGCTCTGCTCTGCCAGGAGTATCCCACCAGCACATTCCCTGGCCTAGGAAAGGACCAGGAGACACCCAACCATCTGAACTCATCCCAGCTTTATTTTCTCTGAAGGTCAGACACACAGGGATGCAACCAAGGTCTCCACATCAGCAATTCTTGGATAGAATTGATCCTTGTGAATCTCCTGTGGCAAAACCATCCCTGGGCAGAATTCACAGAGCAGGCAGGGACTGACACAGCCTCCCTGGGACACAGGAATCAGCCCCTCCACAGGAATCCTTGCCTGCATCCACTGGGAATTTCCCAGACATTTATCACATTTTCCACACCAGCTCCAGCACTGGAGCAGTGTTTGTAGTGCAACATCTCCAGGTTTGGAGGGACCAAGCTAAGTCTGCAGTAAGATTTT